GACTGCCTGGAGCCCACCGAGGGCCCAGGTGCAGGAGGGGACCCTGCAGCCAAGGCGGAGCGTTGGGGCCAGGCCTGCCGAGCAGAGCATCTAACTGTGCCCAGCTTTGCCTTTGAGCCACTGGATGTGGGGGGCCCCAGTGGAGACCCTTTGCTGGACAGTGACCACAGTGGGACCCCAGAACCCACAGCTTCCTTCTCGGGGGCCACAACATCTCTAGAACCCCATGAAACAGAGCCACCCTCGCCCTCCGGAGATGTCCCACAGAAGGACCAGGGACTATACCTCACGGTTCCCCAAAACCCGCTAAAGAAGGCAGGGTTGCTCCCAGCTACCCCTGCCCTGGGTGACAGTGCAGATGGATCTGTGTAGCTTGGGCTGGTGCACACAGGGCTTTGATCCTGGGACTGGGAGCACCCCACAGAGGGGCGCCCAAGCAGGCCATGAGCAGACCCCAGCTCGCCCCTGCTGTGGATGGAGGGGCCTGGGAAGAATGTCAGAGCAGGGAGAAGGGTGGACACACGTTCACGTGTGGGGAGCAGCCTCTGGGTCCCACAAGCCTCCACCGTGCAGATTCAGTTTGGAGTTTTCCTGAGTTTTGCCACCACTGCCCGAGGTGCTGGGGACAGGGGGAAGACCGGCAGCTCCTCCATGGAGGCCCCACAGCTCTAGCCTCGCAGTCCACGTGACTGTGTAGGGAACACACGCTTGGACCTCTCACCCTAGCAGAAGCCTCACACCCTGAGGCCACTGCAGCCAACCCCACCTTTGCTCAGAGTCTGAGTCCTTTCATCCTTTGTCACCCCCAGTGCACTCCGTTCCCATGTCACTCCCTGCCCTGTCCCCTGAGTGTTCCAGAAACATCCCCGGGACTCTGGGAATGGCCACATCACCAGGGAGACAGAAGCTGCGCAATAAGACACCTGCCCCTTCCCCATGGGGCCCTGTCTATCCAGGATTTTTGGCCTGGGGATTCAGTCCTTTGTTTTGTTCCCTTTGTTTTATAAATCCAGGTTATATGTTGCAATAATCTGATACAGAAAACTCAGCTTCTTAAGGGAAAAGGGAGGGCTGGGAACAAAGCAGAATAAATACTAACTTATTTAACAGAGTTCCTGTTGTGTCAGAGTCAAGGCCTGGAGCTACCAGGGAGGGGTGAGCCAGGTTCTGTGCAGCCAGCACCTGGCCACCAAGATGCAGGAGGCCAGCAGCAGCACCAGGAAGACCAGCAGAAAGAGCCCAGCCAGGAGAGGGGAGTCCTGGGTTTCCCAGCCCCAAGGCCCCCAACTCTGGGGTGAGGAATTCACATGGGAATGTGGCTGTAGGCCCAAGCCGGTAAGGATGGACGCAGCCTCGCCCCCAGCTGACAACACCAGTCTCCAACCAGGTGCCATTCACCTGGTAGGCTAGCAGGCCTCCAGTCATCCTGGAGGGCAGAGCAAGGTAAGGTCCAGTAGTGGTTGGGGGGGAGTCTTGCTGGACTCCAGGCCCCAAGCCCTCCACTGTGCCCTAGGCCCACCTGGCAGGGTATGCCAGCCCCCAGCACACAGCATGTCTGGCCTGATATTGCTGCTATCCATGCTGGGGTAGGCCTGGCTGCAGGTGTCTGTGTCCACCATGCCTCCTACAGGCTTTATGGGGGCGACAGAGGCTCTGGGGATGGGGCAGGTTCAGGGGAGACTGGAGCACCAGCCCCCACACAAGCAGCTGGTTCCTTGGTACATGCACCAAGGTTGGTGAGCAAATTCCCCTCTTCCCGCCAGGGTCCAGAGGATGTCAGGGGGCTCCTCACCTCCCTCTAGCATGTGGTCCCAGCCCGTCACCACCCAACCTATAGGGTGGAAGTCGGCTGAGGCCTTGGGGAGGCAGGCAGGATCTGGCTGCAGAGGGTCACAAGGGGGACCAGTTACACCAAGTCAATGTCCCTGCTAGACGCCGGTGGTCCAGGGGAGTTGGAGTACAGGACAATTCACCTCATGGTGGAGACATTAGGAGACAAAGGTCTTCAGAATTCAAGGATCTGGAAGGGTGGGGTGGATGGGTGTGGTGGCACCCCTGCTGTGAGGGCAGCCAGATGCAGAGGCAAGAAGTCAGTGTCTAGTCCGAATCAGAATCCATGTTCAGCTCATCCCCCTCAAGATTCAGGTACGGAGGATTGATGGCATATTGGGCTCCTGCTGCTTGAGCTAGAAAATATCCAGAGGGGCAGATTGCAGATTTCAGCAGTGGGGAAAGGGAGCCACTCCCCCCCTCCAGGTATACAAAGCCATGCAGAAGCTTCTTCCTGTTGGCTAGGGTCCAGAAACTTCCAAAGTCAGTACCAGTCTGGTGGCCAGGAAGGCCACAGAGCCCTGGGACTGCCTACTGCCCATAGTCCTCCTTGTTGCTGAAGAGGACAGGTTCCAGGCTCAGAAGTGAGTCAAAGGTCAAGAGAAGTCCTCTGCACTGCCAGTGTGCCCACAGGTCTGGACATTCACACTGTCCCCACTCACCCTGGACACACCCAGAGAAGCTGTGGGCAGCAGTGAGCACCCACCACAGCAGAGGCTGGTCTACCATGGCCACACGCCAGTCTGGGCAGCATGGCCCCTCACAATTTGGTCCCCTGTATCTAAAACCTGAGACTGTCCACACCCTGAGCCAAAAGAGAAGGGGTTGCTGCTGGCTCTCCAGAGGCCAGCATCCTGCCTGCTACCACTTCCCCACTGCCCCACCCATCTTCATGGGGGTCTCCCTCTTACAACTTCAGCTCCCCACCTGT